TGCCTGTCAGGCAGGAGAGGAAGTCATTGCGTTTAGGGCCAGCCAGGGTTTCCTTAGCTTTGATCTTTGAGAGTAAGCCTTTTGCTTGACTTCCCCTTTCTCTCTGTCTCCCTGTGCAAATTTGAAGTGTCCCGTTTGCTTTTGTCTGCGGGAAGGTGATCCCCCTCCATGAAGTATCAGGCTTTGCTTTGATTGGCGCACCCTGTGCTGCTTGAAAGAGTTTACATGGTCTGTGGCCCTCAGACCTCGCTCCTAGAGAAAGGAAGTGCGCTTCGGTGAGGAAATAGTAGGCATAGCTAAGAAACTTGATCAGGGATGTGTGGCTGTTGTTCAGTGGCCCTTTCCTGTCCTTCCCCTTCCTTCCTTTGTCCTGTGGCGGCATCTCTCCTTCCCAGGCCTGTGAGAGTCTAATTATTGACTCCTTTCACCTGCAGTCAGCAGGCGCCTAGTCAGTTTGAGCAGCTAGATTCTGCGAGTCTGTTGACTGAGTGCTTCGTATTCCTCACAGCTGGTGGCAGCCAACAGCCACGGTGCTGTTAGCCTGGTGTAGGCGGCAGGGTTTGCACTGTTCCTTGACCTGTTTCCCACCTACCTTCATCTGAAAAATTTGCCCTTGCTCAGGGTTAGCTTGGGCCGGACATCAGCACAGTATGTGTCTAAGTTGTAAGCTTCAATCCTCATCCTGACATCCAAGCTGTCAGGTTTTAAAATTTCTTTTTCTTTTTTTTTTTTTTTTCTCAAGTGCATGTGTGTGGTGTGCATGCATGTGTGGTCATATGTGTGTGGACGTGCTTTCAATTTTAAGTAAAAAAAAATGTTTAAAGACAGAGTCTCATTCTGTAGCTTAGGCTGGCCTGGAACTCTCTATGTAGCCCAAGTAGGCCTTGAACTCAGGGCAATCCTCCTGCCTCAGTTTCCCAAGTGCTGGGATTCCAGGTGTGAGCCATTGTGCCCAGCTTAGGATGCCAGTTTTGAAATGTGGAATTCTAATGAACGCTGGTCAGCCAGAGCCTTCTAGATGAAGCCTGTGTGTGGGCTCTGTGTCTGGGAGATGGAAAATTAGGTGATGAGGTGGAAGACGGCTATGCATAGACCTAAAAGAAAACCCTCCACTGTTCTACATCTGTTACTGGTCACAAAGGTTGTGGTTATCATTTACCCTTTTAAATCCTCTAAAAGTGCTTCTTTTTATTTTTCTTTTAAATTTATTTTTCTTTAATGTGTATGAGTGCTTTGGCTGCATGTATGTAGTGCACCATGTATGTGCAATGCCCATGAAGGCCAGAAGAGGGTGTTGGATCCCCTGGAACTGGAGTTACGGATGATTATGAGCTGCCATATGGGTTCTGGGACCCAACCTGGGTCCTCTGGAAAAGTAGCCAGTGCTCATGACCACTGAGCCATCTCTCCAGCCCCTAAAAGTGCTTCTTAACATCTGTCATTATTGTTTCTCTAAGGAAAAAAAAATAGAACTTAGATCTAAGAATATTAAGTAATAAGGTTTTGTGGGTAGGGTTGAGTCTTGGGGGCCAGAAATGATTGCAGTGTCTAAGGCACCTTTCACACCTCCAAAAGTTAGTTTTTGTGCATTGATAATACTGTTCTAAGAACTTCATGTTTTGGGATAATAAGAGTGCCCTGGTATGGACCTGGCACTTTAAGGATGAGCCCATTTAGCTCTCCCTGGAAACTTCCCACATAGGCAGTGTGTGATCTTACAGTCCGTCTTACAGACAGGAATTCAAAGCTCAGAGCAGGCCAGTGCCCCTGGGGCCAGAAAACAGTTAACCAGAGGTGCAGGGTTCAAGTCTAGAACATTGATCGTGATCTTCTTATTAACAAGGCTGTCCTAAAATAGTCTGGAAATGGGGCTGGAGAGATGGCTCAGCGGTTAAGAACACTGTTCTTACAGAAGACCCAGGTTTGAGTCCCAGCACCCACATGGCAGCTAACAACTGTCCATAACTTCTCAACTGTCCAGTCTCTTCTCCATGGGCACTGCACGACATGGGTGTACTTACCTACATGCAGGCAATACACACATACACATAAAAATAATAAAAAGAGTTTATTTTATTGCATTTATTCTTTTTTGTATATATATGCATATGTAGTGTTTGTGTGTATTGTGTGTGTGTGCATGCACAGACATGCCATGGGGCAAGTGTGGAGGTCAGAGGACAATGTGCAGGAGTTGGTTCTCTCCTTCCACTGTGTGGGTCCTGGGGATCAGATTTGGTGATCAGGTCATCAGACTTGGTGGCTAGTCCTTTTACCTGCTGAGCAATCCCACCAGCCCTGGATTTCTAATTTCATTATCCTTAACACTTGTTATTGCTTGTATTTTTTTATGATAGCTATCCAGTGAGTATAGAGGTGATAGCTCATTGAAGTTTTGATTTGTATTTCCTTTGCTTATTGGGGATGTGTGTGTGTGTGTGTGTGTGTGTGTGTGTGTGTGTGTGTGTGTGTAAAATGTCTGTTTAAATCTCTGTCAATTTCAAAATTATTTGCTTTCTTACTGTTGAGTTGTAGGAGTTTATATATGATTGCAAATATTTTCTTTGCACTGTATTTTTATTTTTGATTCATTATTTTTACTTTATGTGTATGAGTAGGGACTGGAGAGATGGTTCAGAAGTTTTGCTGCATATATGTAAGTGCACCTGTGGGTGCAGTGCTGGTGGAGGCCAGAAGAGGGTGTTGGAGCCCTGGAATTGGAGTTACAGATGGTTGTGAGCAACTAGGTGGGTGCTGGAAACCGAACCTGGGTCCTCTGGAAGAACAGCCAGTGCTCTTTACTGAGCCATTTCTCCAGACCGCTTTTTACTTTTTCTTTATTTCTTTCATTTAAAAATTTTATTTATAGCTGGGCATGGTGGCACATGCCTTTAATCCCAGCACTTGGGAGGCAGAGGCAGGTAGATCTTTGTGAGATTGGGGCCAGCCTGGTCTACATAGTGAGTTTCAGGCCAGCTGGGACTACAGGGAGACCCTGTCACAACCTCCCTCCCCCCCAAAGAATGGAATTCACAACTATGTCTGATTACGAAATGTGGGGCAATATGTTCATAAGGTCTTAGAGAGAGACTGCCGTGATCACTGTTGTTCACAGACACCTGCTCTCAATGACTAGGCACTTTATCCTAAGCTCTCCCCTGGGGATTTACATATACTCTTTATTTAAAAAAGGTATTTATTTTATTTGTTTACATGTATGCGTGTGTGCCTGTGTGTGTGTGTGTGTGTGGCCAGACAAGAGCATTGAATCCCTTGGACTTGGAGTTGCAGGTGGTTGGAAACTGCTGGACCTGGGTGCTGGGAACCACTCCAGTCCTCTGACTCAGTGGCTAGTGCTTGTGAGGACTGAACCATCTCTCCAGGCCCCAGAGGCATTATGTATGACCTAAGGTGATATTCATTATTATTTCTGCTTTACAAATGTGGATACTGAGGCTGTAGAGGCTTGCTCAGGGCCAGGGAGTGGTGATGAGTGGAGTTTGAATCAGACCCCCCCCCCAAGGTTTCTCCCCAACAGGCTCCTTTTCCTCCTTAGAGATGGTGCGTCTTCCTTGCCCCTGCCAGAATTCTTGGATGCAAGGTGGGAGGATTCAAAGCTGCACTTCCTCTGCTATTGTATCTGTCGCCCCCATGTGGTGACAGTGTGAACTGTTGATGGTGTCCCCTCTCTATAGCGTGCAGCAGGGTCTCCAGGGAAGTGTGTTTGACAGCTCCTATTCCTGAACGCAGCACTCACCTTGGACCACACTTACTTGAGAACAACTGGTGGGTGGACAGGGTTCCTTTTACATCAGTGGGTATTTTGGACTTGACCTTTTCTCCGGTGCCATAAAGACCTAAAGACCTTGTCCCCTTTTAGTTGTAAAGCAATTGAGACTTGAGACAGGGTCCTGCTGTGTGGCCCATGTTGGCTTTTATATTTTATATTTTTCTTTTTTTTTAAACAAATAATTTATTGAGACTTTCATACATGCATATAAGGTGTTTGTATCAAATCCATGCCCACCCCTCCCCTCCAACTCCTCCCATATCTCCCCATCACTTTTTTCTGATAACTTCATGTACTCTTTCTTCTTTGATTTATTATTTTTTTTATGGGGCTTTTGGCTACTCTAATATTCCCTCCTAAAAAGGTAACCCTAAAATCTTTTAAGGATTAGATAAAAGCTCCCAAATATTTTTGACATGTTGGCTTTTAAAACAATGTTTTATTTATCATTTTTATGTGTATGAATATATTGACTGCATGTATGTGAGTGCACCCATGTCATGCAATGCCTGCAGAGGTCAGAAGAGGTTAGATTCCTTTGGAACTGGAGTTACAGACGGTTGTTAGCTGTCATGTGGGTGCTGGAAATAGAACCCGGGTCTTCTGCAAGAGCAGCCAATGCTCTAACCACTGAGCAATCTCTCCAGCCCCCAATGTTGGCTTTTTAACTCTAGGTGCCCCTGCCTCAGCCTCCTAAGTGCTGCTGGTATTAGAGGCTTACATCGAGGTACTTGGGAAGAGTTTACTTTTAAATATTTTAATTTTAAGTTATATGTGTTTGAGTGTTTTGCCTGCATGTAAGTGCACCATGTGCATAAAATGCCCATGGAGGTCAGAAGAGGGGGTTGGATCCCCCAGAACTGGAGCTACTGATGGGTGTTAGCTGCCATGTGGGTGCTGGGAACCAAATTCGGGTCCTCTGCAAGAGCAACCAGTGCCCCTAACTTCTGAGCCATCTCTCCATTCCCAAGTTCAGTTACATTTAAATGACAGGTTCTTAGTGTTTCATGAGAACTGTTGTTAGGTCAAAGCGAGAATATTTGAGTTGTAACATCTTCGCTGTTAATAAACGTCCATATCTATAATGCTTTGTGTCTGATTGTAGTTCGATGCCGAGGAAGCTGAAGGGGAAGCACGGTGTTTGGTCGTTTTAGACGTGGGAAATTTCAGCAGCTCTTTTCCCACCTCTTCCCGTCTTCTCTCTTCTCAGGTTGTAAGATGGTCCGACTGTTGTTTGCCGTTAGCCTGCCGACCTGGGGATCCCTACCAATTAATTGCTGAAGCAAGTGTGGATGACTTCAGCAAGCTGGGAGTGGCATTCATGGAAGACAGACTGCAAATGGATAATGGACTGATACCCCAAAAGATTGTTTGTAAGTAACTTGAGGAAATATTTCCCTTCCAGCTGGATATCACAAGTGACTTGACTGAGGACAGTTGTGAATGTCTGTGGGTATGACTTAGGGAAGTGTTTATTTTCAGTTTTAGCCAACAGATTTGATCTAACCATAATAGTATAAAATTCATACACTTGTCAGGGTTGTGGGGAGGGCAGGAGGTATGTTGTAGTCTATTAAGAGTTCTTAGACCAAAATGTTCATCGTTACACCAGAACTATTCTGCTGGTGCTACGATGAGGTTCTAAATGAACAGCTTTTAACTTGAGACAGGCTCTCCCTGCAGCCCCAGCTGGCCTGGAACTCACTCTGTAGACCAGGCTGGCCTCAATCTCACAGAGATCCTCCTGCCTCTGCCTTCTGAGTGCTGGGATTAAAGTTGTACCCCACCGTGCCTGGCCGTACCTCACACTTTTTTCTTTTTGGTTTTGTATATGTGTTGCGGGTGGTGTGCAGGTGGCTGTCCTGGGCTGCAGGCAGCAGGGGAACTTCCTGAGCTGACCTATATGACAGTTCGGAGTGGTTACTAACACTCTCTGCTGTTTGTGCTCTAGCAGTGCACTTGAAGGACTCTACTCTGAAGGAACTCCAGGATCAGGTCTCCAACAAGCAAGTCCAAGCCCTGCAGCCAAGCCCAGAACCTTCCCCTGAGGCTGAGCCTATGCAAGACATCATGGAGCATGCTGGTCAAGGTGACTCAAAGGCTCCTCGTGAAGTCTGTTCCCTGTCAAGGAGAGGCAGTGTCTCTGGAAGGGGGCCGGCTGCAGATGGCGAGCCAGGGCAGGGCTCTGTTGAGCACCATCAGCTCCACCTGTCCAGTTGCCACGAGTGTTTAGAACTCGAGAACAGCACCATTGAATCAGTGAGGTTTGCATCAGCAGAGAACATTCCAGATCTTCCCTATGATCACAGCAGCACTTTGGGGGGTGCTGGTGAGTTCTTCCCTGAAAGAGAAGGGAGGAGAGTCAACATCTCAGGAAAGGCACCCAACATCCTCCTGTATGTGGGCTCCAGCTGCCAGGAAGCCCTGGGCCGGCTCCAGCAGGTGCAGTCTGTCCTGGCTGACTGTGTGGACACCGACAGCTATGTTCTCTACCACCTGCAGGAAGACAGTGCCCTCAGGGACCCATGGCCAGACAACTGCCTGCTCTTGGTCATTGCCACCAGGGAGCCTGTCCCCGAAGGCCTGTACCAGAAATTCATGGCCTATCTCGCTCAAGGAGGGAAGGTGCTGGGCCTGTCTTCCTCCTTCAGGTTTGGTGGCTTTCAGGTGACAAGCAAGGGCATGCTGCAGAACACAGTCCAGAACTTGGTTTTCTCCAAGGCTGACCAGAGTAAGGTGCAGCTTAGCGTCCTGAGCAGCGGCTATGTTTATTACGAGGACCCTGGAGAACAGCCCAGCCCTGGCATGCTGCAGGGCCACTTACAGAATGGGGACAAAGACAGGATGATCGTGCAAGTGCCTTTTGGAACCCGTGGAGGGGAGGCCGTCCTCTGCCAGGTACTGGGGTGACATTGAAATGGTGCTCTTTGGGACAGAACGTGCTCTTTAAGGCTGGACAGTGAAAAGTCCCAAGAGGGGCTTGGGCAGTGGCTCAGCAGGGAAGTGTTTGCCTTATCAGCACGAGGACTTGAGTTTGATTCCCCAGAACACACCGAGTCAGGCTCGGTGGCACATGTGCTGGGGAGGTAGAGGCAGGCAAATCCCTGGGGCTTGCTGCACAGCCACTGTATCCTACTTGGTGAGCTCCAGGCCAGTGAGAGACCCTGTTTCAAAAAACAAGGTGGACAGCGGCATCTGAGGAGTGATAGCTGAGATTGTCCTGTGATCTCTATAGACACATGCATTTGTTATGCATACAGATACACAGAGACATCACACACAGACACACAGACACAGACACATAGACACACAGATGGAGACAGACACTTAGACACACCCATGGGTATAGAGACACTTAGACACACACACACAGACATAGAGACATACAGATATAGAGATACTTAGACACACATACAGTCACAGAGACACAGAGACACACACAGAGACATCACACATAGACACAGAAATACACAAACACAGACATACAGAGACATCAGACACAAAGGCACACACACAGAGAGATGTAGACACACACACACAAAGACACACACATACACATGGATATAGAGACACTTAGACACACACAGACACACAGTCACAGAGACACACACACACACAGATACAGAGATATGTAGACATATACAAAGACACACAGAGACATCACACACAGGCATGCATACATAGACACACACAGACAGACATGCACAGACACACGGACATAGAGACACACACACAGGCAAATAGATACAGAGATTCATAGACAGACACAGACACACACACAGATACAAACAGACACAGATACACAAACAGCAACACACAGACAGACATCACACACAGTCCCAAGACTTTATGTGCGAGTCGTTGCTTGTGTTCTTGGCTGGGAGTTTCTGCTGGCGGTGAGTGGAAGGCTAGTTCAGGGCTTTTACAAATACCCTGACTTACCAAAACGCTTGTGATTGAGGAACCAAGGAGGGAGGTATTAAAGTTAACTAAACTTGCAGATTAATCAAGGATTAGCCAGAAAATTCTTTCTCATTTCAGTCGTTATTGATAATCGCCTAAAATATGCTAGTCTGCTTTCACCCTGATTATATCATTAAGCATTTGGTTAGTGCAGGAAGTTGAAAGGCTCAGGGTAGTTGTAATGCCAAATTCTCCCCTGGGAGACCCAAGCGTGCTACCGCCTGACTGCAAAACCGACACTATGCATTCCATTCGGGTCTTTGTATAAAGTCTATGGTGTCCGAAAGAACGTTGCTTACAAAGGCGTGTATTCATGGGCTCTTTCCCCTACATCTTGGCTGAGCTTTTTGAGATCTGTTGCCTCTTCCCAGCTTCCTCAGCATCTGTCCTTAGGCCCTCCCCTTTGTGCAACTGAAGCTGACCGATTGGGTGGGAGGGATGACTGCCTCCCCCTCTGTCTACTGGGTCTCTTAGGGTTCAGTGCTCGTTCTCTTGGAGGACTCACCTATCCAACAGTAGTGATTCCAAACATCAACCGTCATGTTAAAATGATGTGCTTGATTGTGTATGTGATTAGTATAGAACACATTTTTACATCCTCAATTCCTTTTTAATGATTTTTTGTGTTTAAAATTAAGTGCACGGGCTGGAGAGATGGCTCAACAGTAAAGAACACTGGCTGTGGGGCTGGAGAGGTGGTTCATCGGTTAAGAACACTGTTCTTGCAGAAGACCTGCGTTTGAATCCCAGCATCCACATGGCAGCTAACAACTGTCCATAACTCCAGTTCCAGGGGATCCGACAGCCTCTTCTGACCTCTGTGGGCATTGCACGACATGGGTGCACTTACCTACATGTAGGCAATACATGTGTACACATAAAATAAAAATAATAAAAAATTAAAAAAAAAACTTAAGTGCTTAGGGCTGAAAATACGGCTCAGTGGTCAAGAGCCCTGGTTGTTCTTGCAGAGTGGGTACCCGGGTTCAGTTCCCAGCACCCACATGGTAGCTAACAACTGCTTGTAACTTCTAGGGCATCTAACTCCCTCTTCTGGCCTCTGTGGGCAGTATACACATGTAATGCACTTATAGACACGGAGGTAAACACTGATACACGTAAAATAAAAATATGTAAATCTTAAAAACAAAACAAAATCAGCAACCCCGAGTGCTGAGAAAAATTCCAAATGAGGGCGTTGAGGTCACTTAGATTATATGTTTCTGCTCGGGTGAGAAAGACATGCTGGGGGTCCTCTGCTTTTTCTGGCCACTCCCACCCTCTTCTAGCTCTTCACTGACTTGAGCAAACAGTTACCAGACAGACTATTTCATTATACTCACAGCTTATAGCTTATATTTAATGCTTTAGGGCAGAAGTTTTTGTAAACATCATAAGATTATTTTGTCCTCAAGGATTCTGGGATTTAATCACAAACTAAAGCACCTTCTAAAGAGTGTGAAATTTCATTTCATCACAGACGTTTTTTATTGGGTAGAAAACTTTTTTCAGTTTTGATTTTGTTTGCATTTTGCCTGTCTCTTTCCAGCCCTCCTTGAAGCTAAGTCCTTTGAGTTTTCTGACCAAATGCTCTCTGACAGGGTATGAGCGTATAGGTTTTGTGTGTGTGTGTGCGTGTATGAGTGCAGGTGTGTGATTGTCATGATACTTGTGTGGAAGCCTGAGGCTGGCATCAGGTGTCAGTCTTCGCCTTCTGCTTTGAGACAAGGTCCTTTGTTGTTCAACGCTGTGTATGTCAAGCTGCTTACCTTCAGGCTTCCAGGGTTCTCCTGTTTCCACCTCCCATCTTGCTATGTCTGCTGGGATCGCAGACACATACTGTTGAATCTGGCTTCACACGGGTTCTGGGGATCTAAACTCAGGTCCTCATGCTTGTACTGTGAACGCTTTCCACACTTACCCCCAGCTCTTGTTTCTTTGCTCTTTAACACGTTTGTACTTAAGATAATTCTCAGGCAGAGATACTTAAAATTCAGAAATCTGGACACTGAGACAGATGTGCATGTGTATCACAAGTAGGCTTCCTGTAGGACTGCAAGCCACATGGGTTAGTTTCTGGGGGCCTAATAAAGGTTTCTCTTACCTTTTTATCTGCAAATATGGTCACTATAGTAACCATGCGTTCTCAGAAAATCCACTTAAAAACCCCACTTCCTTCAGCCATAATTCAGCTCTGAAGAATAATTTGTACCACCTCCGTGCATAGACTAGTACTAGAAAATTGATTCGGCACCGTTGCGATCCATTTCTCTGAGTTCTGTGGCACATCTGCCTGCTGCTCCATTTAAATTGACCCCAGTACTATCATAAAACTTGATACTACAGTGCGTTGCCCTAGGAAAAGAAAGGCAATATGATGCGGGTTCAGAACTCAGATCCAGAGGATTAGGATGTCATTTTTGATTGTAAACGACTTCCAGTCTTCTGTGTGGCAGGGTCACTGTTTCCTCCTCAGACCCCTGCGGCTTTGCTACCTCACAGAGATCAACCCATAAATATTAGTACAGGCTGATTAGTTTCTTCTTTCTCTGTTCAATTTCAGAGGCTTCATCTCTGTAAGAAATCTAGTAATGATGTAACCCAGTAAGAGGAGGCAGAGAACTTCAAGGGCCGAGCACAGCTGTGCACTAGGTGGGGGCATCCCAGCCCAGCAAACTGCTTGCTGGGTACTTTATGCATTCATGGGGATAAAGAAAAAGAGACACTGTCTGTGTGCTTGCTGAGCCGATTGAGTTTGCAGGGAAAATGTAAAGCTGTGAATGAAGGCTGATATTTGCTTATGAAATGGATCAGGAGTTTGGCATCAAGTTGTCCAAACACGGCTCTAAAATGGATTTGGAAAGATCTCGATTGCTTGTCCGGCTTAGCTCGTGGAAGGAGTGATTGAGCTCGCAGAGTTGCTCAGCTAGCAGTCTGGCCCCGTTGGCATTCCAGGCCAGGTCACTTTGTGGTGAGGTGTGGTCGCATATGTCACAGGATGTTTTGCAGTGTTTCTGGTCTCTGTGCTTTACCATCCCCTCGATGCCATCCCCTGTCCCAATCGTTGCTGGAGACATTTCTTACTTCTGCCTTCCGGTCCAGTTGAAAAGCCTTATGCTTAGGAGAAGCCAGGTTATGGAGATGGGCCTGTCACTACAGTAACTGCATTGCAAGCTGATGGTGAGAGTGTTGTCTGGAACTGCAGAGGAGCAGGAGGGCAGGTCCACGTGCACAGCCTCTGGAGTGCTCATCTGTCCCTTAGTTGAAAAGGCAGCACTCAGGGCCTCATGCATGTGAAACCAGTTCTGTACCACTGAGCCTTGCCTGCAGTCCACCATCTAACCCTTGAAACTGTACAATGGTGAGCTAATGCATTTCCACTTCCACGGTGGTCTCCTTGGACCAGGAGGCCTGCTGCAGCTTGATGGGCATCTAGCCTTCCTGGGTGTTTTTTCATATGTAAATCCGTTCAGTACATTTCTCTGCCCGTGCCTCTCTGATAGTCTGTGTGTTCCCACTGTCCAGTGAGGACACACGGGTCCAGTCATGTAGGTCCCGGTTTCCCTGAGTTCCTTCGGGAACAGAACTTGGCTTATTTGTGCCACCTGTTAAGGTTAATTTCCAGGCAGCCATGCGTGCCTGTGGATGACATGGGACCTGTTCACTGCTGGGCTGCTTGTCCTCCACCCAGCTCTGGCTCTGAGCATTTGAGAGCAGAAGCCCACACTTTAAAGGAGACTGGCTGCAATATGGATTCTTTTTTTAAAAAAAATAATTTATGCTGGGCGTGGTGGTGCACGCCTTTAATCCCAGCGCTTGGGAGGCAGAGGCAGGCAGATCTTTGTGAGTTTGAGGCCAGCCTGGTCTACATAGTGAGTTCCAGGACAGCTGGGGCTATGGGGAGACCCTGTGTTTTGTCTGCATGGATGTAAGTGCACCCTTGTGTACAGTACCCACAGAGGCCAGAAGAGGGCATGGGACCCCTGGAGCTGGAGTTAGGGAGAGTTGTTGGTTGCCATGTGGGTGCTGGGAACTGAACTCAGGTCTTCTGTAAGAATAGCCAGTGCTCTTAACGGCTGAACCATCTCTCTAGACCTGGGATATGGACTCTTACAGGTGCCCCTTTCTGCCTCCTCTTTCTGCACAGCTGTCCAGAGGACAGACCTTATCTGCTGTCCACTCTTCACTGTGCTCCACCGCTGTAGTCAGGGACCAGTGTTCTTCCAACCTGTTCAGACTGGCCTCAAAGTTTAACATTTGGACCACTGTGGACAATGTATTTGGATGTTGTTTGGCTTGGTTAAGGCCTGGGTGAGATTCGAGGGATTCGAAGTTCCCTGAAGGCTGGCACCATACCTCTAATCCTTCTAGTGTTCCTGTTGGAAGCTCTTCATGCAGTGGGCAAAACCAAAATGAAACAAACATTTTTAGGCTGCTTTGCTGGGTACTCAATATTCTGACACTTGCCAACTCTAACGTCCAATTAGAATCTGCTCTCAAGGGAGCTAAGTGTTCCAGTGTGTTCTTCACACAGATAGAGATGCTGACAGACGCATTTCCTATAACCTACACGCAACCTCCCACATATATCCTAAAGCATGCTTTAGTACCTGGACTACATACAGGAAGTTCAAATCTTAGAATTCAGTCAGGTGCAGGAAGGTGTCAGGAAGCCCTTTCGGTTGTCTGGGAAGTCTATTCTGTTGTCTGAAGTTCTGTAAACACTCTTCAAATGGTCAATGTGCCACACTCTTCCTCTTCTGACTACTGGGTAGGATGAAGGTTTCCAGCATGCCCCAGTATGCCTCCCTGGGGTCAGTAGTGTGGTCAGGCAGATTCTCAGCCTGTTTCTAAATGTTTTGGTCCAGGTTAGAGTGAGGTTGACCAAGGTTCCACAACTGATTCATGATAGAAGTTATGACCTGAAAGAATTTGTATACTATCTAAGAATTGATTCCAACATGACCTTTGAGCTAGGCAGCCACAGTTTGAAGAGGCTCGTTCTAATCTTTGTATTCTGTTTGATTTATTTTTTATTTTATGTGTATGGGTGTATTGCTTGCATGTATGTACATGCACCTATGTTGTACAGTGCCCATGGAGACCAGAAGAGGGCATCAGATTCCCTCGAACTGGAGTTACAGATGGTTGTTACCTGCCATGTCGGTGCTGGGAACTGAACCTGGGTCCTCTGCAAGAGCAGCCAGTGTTCTTTTTTTAAAAAAGAAATATTTATTCATTTAAAAATATTTTATTATTTTTATTTTATGTGTATGAGTGTATTGTCTGCATATATGTGAATACACCTGTGTCGTGCAATGCCAGCTTAGGTCAGAAGAGGGCTTTGGATTCCCCCGGAACTGGAGTTAAGGATAGTTCATAGCTGCCGTGTGGGTGCCGGGAATCGAACCCGGGTGCTCTTAACTGCTGAGCTATCTCTCCAGCCCTTCTGTTTGATTCTTGACATCACTTTCCAGATAGTCAGGCTCAACATTTTGTGATATTGGTAAGAAGAGGAGTTGTTCAGATTTTAGTCATGGTCCTGAAACAGTCTCTCTGAGTGAGTACCCCAGGTCACCTAGTGTTCTCTTTTCTCAGGTGCATCTAGAACTTCCTCCCAGCTCTCCCATAGTGCAAACGCAAGAAGACTTCAACTTGCTCAAATCAAGCAATATGCGAAGGCATGAAGTCCTAAAGGAGATCCTGACCACCCTCGGCCTGAGCTGTGATACACAACAAGTTCCTACCTTAACCCCGCTTCATTTACTGCCGGCCACTGACGTGAGTGTGTGGGCTCACCTGGGAAATTCGTGCTTGGGGTCACTCTTTCCTTAACGTTAACCTTCTCTTATGATTAAGTTTGGCCTTGCTTTCTGTTCCGATCTTCCTTTATTTCTGTTTTGACTTTGGGCTGGAAAACCATCTTAATGATATAGAAGTATCTTTAATTTTCCTTCCTTTTTTGCGTGTGTTTGGAAGGAAAGTAGAGATGATTAGAGGGGGAGGTGTTAAGTCTGATGCTCGTGGCCCTTCTTACAGGAAAGAGGAGCTCTGACTTACGTCCCAAAGGTACATAGATGCCTCTCCACCTCTGTAGTTCTGATCTGTGGATTCAACCAACGATAGATCAGCTATTTGAAAAAAAAGTGCCCTACTGGCTTGGGAATGGTTGAGTGGGTAAAGAGCTTGCTGTGCAAGTGTGGGGACCTGAGTTTGAATTCCCCAGAACCTGTGTAGAGCTGGACACTGCAGGGTGTGTCTAGAATCTCAGCTTTCCTAGGGCACGATGAGAGGCAGAGACAGGAGACTCCCCCCGAAGTCCTCGGACCGCAGTATGCAGTGCTGACTGACAAGGGGAAGGTGAAGATGGACACCCTAGGTTGTCCTCTGAACTCCATGTGTGGCATGGCATGTGCTTGTCTGTACTTAAACACATGAATACACACATACACATATCACCCACATATACACACACAAATACACATACGTACATATATACCTTCTCTACATACATACGCATATACATAAGCATACACATACAGACATCGCCCACACATACATACATATATACATACATATACATATGTATACACCTCCCACACACACATCACTCACACATAACACAAATAAATACATATATACCTCCTCCACACACACATACATATATGTAAGCACACATACATCACTCACATACACACATACATGCACATATACCTCCCTCCTACATACATATATACATAAGCACACACATACATATACAAAGATAACACATACCCCCCACATACACACACACATATACATACAGCCCACACATATACACATAAATACACATATACCTCCCCCCACATACATAAGCACACACATACACAAATACACACCTCCCCCCACATATATACACACACATACTCCTACATACATACACATCATACATACACATATTATACATACAGATCATAAACTTATACACACATGCATCTTACATACTCAAATACATCATATACAGCCACATACGCATACATGTACACTCATACACAGATGAAAATAATCGTGCCTATAGTGAGCAGGTATGGATTTTTTTCCTTGCCATTACCTGAACAGTACAGCATAACAACTATTTACACAGCATTTGCATTGTATTAGGTATTACGAGTCATCTAGAAACTAAGGACTACAGGAGGATGTGCAGAGGTGATGTGCAAATGCTGTGGAATTTTTTACTTGAGTTCAGAACCCGTGACTTTTGGTATCGGCACAGGGCGGGGGGGCTGGAACCCATCTCCTGTGGGTACCGAAGGATGGCTGTGGAACCTGCAGTCACTTGGGATCAAAACCAGTTGTTTTCATCTGGGCTTTTGTCAGCAAATCTTCGGGTGGGAAAAATCGCAGCTTCCGTTTTGTATGTGCTGATGTCTGCCATCTTGTGGTGAAAGGCTCTGGATTTTTGTCTGTCTGTCGCTTGTGTCTAAGAGGAAAATGGAAATGTTGGGGATGTGTTCTGGAGCGTTCCTCTCCCAACCGCACCTGTGTTTGCCACGGTGACGGGTACCTGGTTTTGGGCAGGCCGCCAGATTCTCCAGGTGTGTGTTCGTTCCCACTGATCCCACACAGTGACGTGCTGTCATTTTCTTATTCAGTTATTTTGTGGCGCTCTTTCTGTTGTCACCTCATAATAGACAAATCTGTGAGTTTAGTGATGTCAACATGAAGTTTCAGCAAAACCCAGTAGTCCAGGTAACTCCACATACCAAACTCACCTGTTTTCCTTGAAAAGAGAAAAATACACCCTCCATGCCACTGTGAACCGAGGAGGTATTCAGTTTAGTCAGGCTTTGTTCCTGGGCCAGCTTAGGTCGTGGAAGACAGCAGAGCTTTGCAGTGCGTGGGTGCCTCATACTCACTTAGAGAAACAGAGGCAGACCTGGTGAGTTATGGAAGACTATAGGAGAGATAGTATTTTGAAGAATTCTGTGAAAATTGTGCAATTTAAACAATACAATTATTATTAGGTTGTTGGGAGATTGACTGGGTTAAAAAACAGGATGTTCATAACAAGTCCCTGGTACCTAGTCTAGAAAAGTAAAGGCAATGATTTTTAAAATTAATATCATAACACAGGATGATCTTTTTTTTTTTTACTTAGAAAACATTATTTTACTTCATTTTAATTACCCAAATTTTAGCCAGTTTGCATTTGTTTATTTATTTTAGGCAGGTTCTCATCGTAGGCCAGGTTGGCTTGGAACTCACTATGTAGCTTAGGCTGGCCTTTAACTTGCAGTGGCCCTCCTGCTTCAGCCTCCTGGTGCTGGGATTAGACAGGTGTACCGCCAGGCTCACCTCTCCAGTTTGTACTGTTTCTGATGAGAACTCCTAGGCATTAATGGTGTGACTTATGTTTGTGCCTTCATCTCAGGAATTCAAACTCCGAGTCACTTACCACTGTTTTATGTGTTGAGTTAGTAGAGCAAAACATATCAGTTTGTCTTGTGACTTATAAAAATGCTGAAATGAAGCCAGTCCTTAGAGTTTCACGTTTTGTGCATACCCCACCATGGAAGGAAGGAGGCCAGGGCCCTGTCAGCTGGGGTCGTTGGTCCTCAGGGGAATGTGACTGTCATTCCCCTAGGCCTCTCCCCTCCACACCTTCCTGCATGCGGGGTTGAGGCTGGCGATCAGAATGCTTGTGTGACTGCTGCAAGGCTTTGTACCCAGCAGGGCAGAGGGCAACACTGACTGGCCTTGCCCTTGGCCACACTCCCTGCCCTTTCCCTAGAGTTCTGACTGTGCTGGTTTGGGGACTTAGACCTTTTGACTCAGACAGAGAAAGGGAGACAAAAGAGTGGCTTTGGGTTATTGTGGACAGGTGATTGGGACCCTTGATTTTTCAGGCATTCTTTAGAATAGGTACAACTGAAATACTTAAGCTGAGGGTTTGTGGCACAGAACACAGAAGAGGGGCGGGGTATCTTAGCACTTTCAGTTTCCTACACAAGCATGAGGACCAGAGTTTAGACCCCAGCACTCACATAAAAGGCTGGGTCGGTGCAGCAGCCTACCTCTAATTCCAGCATTTGGGAAGCAGATGTTTCCTACATGGAAAAGATTGTTTTGTGCTATGATACTAATTTTTAAATTTAAAAACCATTACCTTTAACTTCCTAGACTAGATACCAGGGACTTGTTAAACACCCATTTTTTTTTTAACCCATTCAGCTTCCTAACACCCTACTAATTTCCAGGCAAACCCTCTAGCTTAGACAAGCCAAATTATCAGACCCTGGGTTCAGTGAGAGAGCCTGTCTCAGTAAATAAAGTGGAGAGCAAAGGAGAAAGAGACCTGATGTCAACCTCTGATCGCTACACATATGCACATGCACACACATGCATGAACACCAGCATACACATGCCCACACACATGTAAACATACAAAACACACATTCACATATACGCACACAAAGTGTTTTTAGTTCTTTAGTTCCAGAGTGGCTGTGGGGTGGTGATGTAGTGTCCTCTATTGATTAATTGATTATTATTTTACCTAGTCACAAACTGTGGAATGAAATCCTTGAAAAAGATCAAAGCAAATATTTGCTCTGTATACCCAAATAAAACCACTCCCTGCCAAGCCCCTGGTTACTTAATACTCCTGGAAAATAGTGTTTCAGAATGCTCTCTTCTCATTTTGGGTCCTATGTTTGGTTTTATCCATCAACTTCTGGGTCTGCTTTTTCTTCTGGTTTTTGACTAAGAGAAATCTGTTTCACTTTGGGAACTCAGGGAACTGAGCAGGCATGCGTGATTGTTGTTCGTGTCTGACCCTTAATGTTTCTAAACTTCTCTTGGAATGCCCGAGTCTGTTGTAGAATGTAAGGCAGGAAGTCAGGGATTTTTTTTTCTAGAAGTCAGAGTTTTATATTGTGTTTTCTGAGAACAAAAGGTCTCTAAACGATCATAATGAAAATGAGTAAGTAGAATGGAAGGAGGTGGTCTTTCTGGGGCGATTCTTCTCACCCCTGTGCTGATGCTGAGGAGGAGACATTTAAAAACATCCAGTGACCTTGCAGTGTGCTCGGTAGATAGGGAAGTGGATTGAGCTGTTTCATTTTTGTTTTCTTTTTCCTTCTGCATCCCTACCTTGTAGATCCCTCTAATTCCCCTTGAAGCAAATCAACCTAAGTGGATCTTGGCACTGTCCATGTGTTGAATTTACCACCTGCCTTGTAGATCATGAGTCTAAGCTTTCTGCATCCCGCTTCCTGTAAAATTCTCTGCTGTTGGGAATCCAAGCTCTGACCACAAGGTGTCGCTGCTGAGCTAGGCTGCCGGCGCTACAGACCCCCTAGAACTATAAAGTAGTTCAGAAATTTATTCTGTGTATATCAGTGTCACACAGTGTAATTTTGGAGTTTTCCATTATATTGGTGGCACTTTCTTTTGGGTCTATAGAAATTATTTCAGTGTCACAGTTCATAACATTTATCTTCTCATTCAACATGTATTCTGTACTAAGTCCTGTTATTGTACAGGACGTGAAAGAACAAAATAAATACAGAAATTATCTAAATACTTTTGCTGCGCACCAGCTGTGTTTACTCTGTTTGGAGCCTCAACGCTGCTCTTTACAGACAGCAGCATGGAAGGTTTGTGTGGACCCCACATGCTTCTATATTACTGTGCTGGAAATGTGGAAGACGGATTGCAGTAGGAAAAGACACTCGCCATCCAACGGCGGATCCTCTGCCTTTGCTCAGGATGTGTTCCGAGACCTTTCTGCACACAAA